GATCACAACTTGGACTAAATACAGATGTGAGGACAAATCCTTTGATTCATACATTTAATTTCGTCTGCACTTTGAGGGTTCCAAACCTTGATGTTGGATGCTCTGCCTTGGGTGCTCCTGGAAGTGCAGTTTGGGTTGGAGTGACAGGGCACCAAGCAGTGTCACCCATCAGTGAGGACACAGTGAAAGTGTTTACTGGCACCGCCCCCACCAGTACCAAGGAAATGCTGCTTTTCTGAAGAACTAGCCAAGATCCCATAGCAGATTGTGAAATTTGGTTTTCCTTGCCCTTCAGGTCACAGCACCAATGTGGGGGCAATCGTGTTCCACCCCAAGGCCACAGTGTCCCTGGACAAGAAGGATGTGAGCCTGGCCTCGTGTGCAGCTGATGGCTCTGTCAAACTCTGGAACCTGGAAAGGTCAGGACTGTTCTAGATGTGCACAGCTGCAGCATTGCTGTGCTGGGGTTTATTCCATGTCCCTCCAGACATTTACCATCCTCCTGCCAATATGACCTTTCCTTGTAGCTACCCCAGTGCACTCCCTGGCCTCAGTATGTGCCAGCCTCTTCAGCAGGAAGAGAGATCACCCTGATTAGGGAGTCAAGGTGAGGGAGATTGTCTGACAGGGATTGAGGCAGAATTGCTGCTGAGCATTGGTGAACTGCTGGGGCTGATGGATGGAAGGTTTGGGGACTGTTTCATTCCAACATCTCACCTAGGAGAAAATTGCCCCTCTTGCATATTAAGCAATGAATTTTTTTGTGATTGGAAAGCACTGGGATCTGGAGAGTGATTGACCAAATACAGGCACAAAAACTTCTGCCTGTGCTGCAAACAAGTGACTGTCACTGCACAGAGTAGCTCTGGCAAATGGCCAGCACCTCTCTCAGGCCTGGGAATAGGAGACTGGTTCAGGTACTGAGCCTCTGCATCACCTGACTGAGAAGTGGAGCCTGCAGTGCTCCTGGGAAGGGTGGGCAGCTCCCAGAGCCCCAGTTGTTTATCCTTAGCTGAAAATCACAGTTTGTAACAGCAGAAGTGTCCCTGTGCAAAGGGACAGGGGGGTTGCTAGGCTCATGTGACCACGTCTCTTAATTAACCTGTTGGAAATAAACTTCACTGCTGTTCAGATGGTGTGTGAAGGCTCCTGACCTGCTGCCTGTCACTGTGAGAGAATAAACATTCCCTCCACCCTGTCTCCCTGCATCCTTCAGAACAGCAGGAGTTGCTGCAGTTCAGGATGTTGTGTTCTCAGAACTCCCTGCAGTTCAGTTAGTCTTTGGTTTGTTTCTGTACTTCCAAAAGTGCTAATGACAGGGGTCTTGTTAATTTTAATTAATAATCATCATCATCATCATCCCAGGAGAGCTTTACAACCAACAGGAGGTGTGGAGAAAGGGTTTCACTCAGAGCTTTGTGAGTGTGACCCAAAGGCAGAATTCAGAGTCATTGGCTACAGCTCTCGTGTTCCTGCCTAGTTTGATTTGATCAGCAGAGCTTTTGCTGCCATCACAATGTGTGGGCAAAGGCCTGGCAGAGGCCTGTGGCCAGTGGCCAATGGTTTGTTGTGTGTTTCAGTGATGAGCCCGTGGCAGACATCGAGGGACACAGCATGAGAGTGGCCCGTGTGATGTGGCACCCGTCTGGGAGGTTCCTGGGCACCACCTGGTACGGACACCTGGGCATTGGCTTTCAGAAATGACCATGGGCTGCCCCGCTGGTGGCCCTGGGGTGCCAGGGCTTGTCCACAGCAGGGCAGGGCATGGCCACTGGTGACCACAGCTGGGCTGTTGCAGTGTAATTGACAGCAGGTCATTGGCTTCCTATCCCTGCCCTTCTGTGAGACACTGTTGGTCTCAGGTGGGAATAAAATGTTCCCAGAGTTGGTAAAATATCTTTAAATTCTCCCTGGAGTTACATGGAGACCAGAGGAAATGGCCTCAAGTTACACCAGGGACTGTTTAGGTTGGATATTGGGAAAAAACGTCTTCACAGAAAGGGTGGTCAGGCACTGGAACAGGCAGCCCAGGGGTGGAGTCACCATCCTGGAAGTGTTCAAGAAACATCTGGATGTGGCACCTGGGGACGTGGGTTAGTGGTGAATGTGGTGGTGCTGGATTAACACTTGGACTCGATGGTCCTGGAGGGCTTTTCCAACCCCAACCTCCGTGATTTAAGGAGTGCTTTGTTCTTGCAGCTACGATCACTCATGGCGCCTGTGGGACCTGGAGGCCCAGGAGGAGATCCTGCACCAGGAGGGGCACAGCAAGGGGGTCTATGACATCGCCTTCCACACTGATGGCTCCCTCGCTGGCACGGGGTGAGCTGCCCTTGGCTCTGCAGGGCTGGGAAACCTTACCCAGGGCTTGCTCTGACCAGAGATCCCTGCTAGGGGAACGGCTTCCTACTGCCAGAGGGCAGGGCTGGATGGGATATTGGGCAGGAATGGTTCCCTGGCAGGGTGGGCAGGCCCTGGCACAGGGTGCCCAGAGCAGCTGTGGCTGCCCCTGGATCCCTGGAAGTGTCCCAGGACAGGTTGGACACTGGGGCTGGGAGCAGCCTGGGACAGTGGGAGGGGTCCCTGCCATGTGTAAGGTCCCACCCAGCCCAGCCCAGTGTGTGATCCTGTGATTGCAGAGGCCTGGATGCCTTTGGCCGGGTGTGGGACCTGCGCACAGGCCGCTGTATCATGTTCCTGGAAGGGCACCTGAAGGAGATCTACGGGATCAACTTCTCCCCTAACGGGTAAGGAGGGAGCTGGCACTGATGTGGGAGCTCTGAGTGCAAAGCCCACTCCCCAAACGCTGCTCTCCCTCCCCTCCTTGGCAGGTACCACGTGGCCACGGGCAGTGGGGACAACACCTGCAAGGTGTGGGACCTGCGGCAGAGGAAATGCATCTACACCATCCCTGCCCACCAGAACCTGGTCACCGGTGTCAGGTTTGAACGTGAGTGCCTGCTGCTCCCTGTCCCTGCCCTCCAGCAGCTCAAATCCACACCTGCAGCTCAGCAAAGCCTGTGCTGGGGAGCAGACATGTTTTCATTTGCAAGTCTCACTTCTCCCCTTTTCTCCACCTATGCAGCCAACCACGGGAATTTCCTGCTCACGGGCGCCTACGACAACACGGCCAAGATCTGGACCCACCCTGGCTGGTCCCCGCTGAAGACACTGGCAGGGCACGAGGGGAAGGTGATGGGCCTGGACATCTCCCTGGATGGGCAGCTCATTGCCACCTGCTCCTACGACAGAACCTTCAAGCTCTGGACAGCCGAGTAGCTCAGAGGGAGCGGTTATGGACTGGGACAGGGACATTAATGACTTTCGGTTGCCTTTTTATATTAAAGAAAAAAAATAGGAATCCAATGTGTTACAGCAGCTGCAGCTGCTCTGGAATTTGGGTGTGTTTGAAGCACCAGTGTTGGCCCAGGCTTGGTTGGTGTCAAGTCTTGGGGCATTTCCCTCTTTTTGGACTGTTTTTATACTGCAGGTACACTTTCTGCTCTAATTTTGATCCGTGTACTTCCTACCCTCCCTTCCAAGTTCAGCTCCCAGGTGTCCTCCAAACATTTGCAGTAACCACAGAGCCCCTCAGGTTTGGTGTGTTGTTCAGCTTCTGTTACTGCCCTTCTCACCTTCCTTTTTGGTAGGAGTGTGACTTCAAACTTGATTTGCATTTAGAGAGAGAGCTCAGAGGGAGAAGCACGTGGTGCCCTCCTTCCCCTGCCTCCACATGGGTGTGTCTGGAAGATCTGCACCCCCCTGGATTCACTTACAGTAGATGTCCAAGGCCAGGGAATCTTTTCCAGGTACCACCTTGTGTCCTACTCCTTGAGTTGTCCCATGGACTGGGTGTTCAAATACATGTCAGCATCTCCTTTTTAGGGTTTGCTGTGTGAGGTCACTCAGTGCAGGATTGTCTTGTTCTGCCCTGGGGAGAACTTTTGTACTTGTTTGTTTAAATTGAGGTTTTGCAAATGTTGCACCCTGGAAAATCTAAACAGGTTTTGAATGTGTATCCTGGGCTCTGGCTCTCAGAAGAAATGGAGAAATTACAGGAATTTCACAATGCAAAGTTTGATTTCTGCTGGTGTAAAAATCAGCTGAGGACGGGTGAAGTCATTGGTTCAGCCTGGAGAAGGAGAGGCTGAGGGGAGATTTATCGGGGCTGCAGCTTCCTCCTGAGGGGCAGCTCCAATCTCTGCTCCCTGTGACAGGGACAGGAGCCAGGGAATGGCTGGAGCTGGGCCAGGGCAGGCTCAGGCTGGAGCTCAGGGCAAGGTTCTTCCCCCAGAGGGTGCTGGGCACTGCCCAGGCTCCCCAGGGAATGGGCACGGCCCCGAGGCTGCCAGAGCTCCAGGAGCGTTTGGACAGCGCTGCCAGGGATGGACAGGCTGGGATTGTTGGGGGGTCTGGGCAGGGACAGGGGCTGCCCTGGGTGATCCTGGTGGGTCCCTCCAGCTCAGGAGATTCTGTGATTGGATGAAAACCTTCAGGAGTAAAGAGAAGATGGATTCACCTCCCTTTTGTCAGCTGAAGAGGAGCTGTCTGTTCCTTGGTAACATCAGCACAGTTCTTTCCAGGGAATATAGGATGGAATGAGAGGCCAGCAACTAACATAGAATTATTTAATTGCAGTCTCCTCTGGTCCAAGCCCAGGTCCAGCTGTGTGCCTGGTGCTCAAGTATCTGTTCCTTGGTCCTGGTGTCTCATTTCTTCCCTCTGGCTGCAGGGAGGCTCAGTCAGGAGCAAGAGCTTGGCCTGAAGGCCCCCAGGGTTTGGATTTTCTCCTGGACAGCTCTGGTGCCTCCCTGTCACCCACAAGCCAACGAGCAACTCCCCCAGCCCTGCTGCCCACAGATGTCCCACAGGCACAGAGTTCCTGCTGCCCACTGCCAGGGCAGCTCTTGGGGGTCACATCCTGGGACAGTGTGTGACAGGGGCTCCAGTGCTCAGAACGCTGCCACCTCATCCTGGGGCAATGTGTGACAATTCAGTCCTCAGAACGCTGCCACCTCCTCCTGGGACAGTGTGTGACAGAGGCTCCAGTGCTCAGAACGCTGCCACCTCATCCTGGGGCAATGTGTGACAATTCAATGCTCAGAACGCTGCCACCTCCTCCAGGGCCAGCTCTGTGCTGCCGCTCACACGGAGCACGTGGATGCCGGAGTTGGAGCTGGCACAGAGCAGGGTGCAGCTGTCACAGGCGGCCAGTGAGGCCAGCGGGCCCGAGCCCTCGAGGCACAGCGTGGCCAGGCAGGCTGCAGGGGAAGGGACAAGAGAGGGATGCTGGGTTTGCTGAGATGAGGCAGGGCCACATCAATCTCCCACCTCCAGACTCTGCTTGCCCGAGCTGCTGCCCTCACTGTCCTGGATCCACACATCCAACACACTGGGATGTGCCCCTGCAAGAGAAACTCTCACCCCTGTGCATTGCCCAGTCAGGCACTGGCTGACAGGGATCCAGGCTGGGGTCAGGCTCTGCCCCTTCCTGGGAGAGGAAGCAGGACTGGATGGACCTACAGACCCCACTGGGCAGAGCTGCAGGGTGTGCCTGGAGCCATTTCCAACATGCCTTTTTCTCCCTAATTTCTCACAGTTTTCCTAAGGGCTGTGCAACATTCACCACACAGTTTTGATGAAATCTCCAAAAGGGAAAAAAAGTAAGATGTACAATATCCAATGCCACATGAGCCTTTCTGTTTGTGTCTGTTATTAAACTCCCTGAGGACACTTTGTGCAGAGACCCCAGCCCCAGGCTGAGCTGCAAACAGAGCTGCACTTGGCCTGGACCCAGAGACAGCTGTGCCTCTCCTGGTGCCCTGCACTCTTCCCAGAGCAGCTGGATTATGGCTCACCCAGCTGGGAAGGCAAGAGGAGGATCAAAGCTGCTGCCAGCCCCACAGCCACCCTGGGTGCACAGGAACCAGGCAAAGGAACAGGTAAGAGAACAGAAGGTCCTTCTCTGCAGGAGAGCCTCGTGTTTCTATTTTCAGCCCATCTTAAACAAGTTCCCTTGGAGAGGGGGTTAGCCCCGGGCAGTGTCTAATGCTGTGAACCTGAACAGCTCTCAAGAGGTCTCTGCCTGCAGCACAAGGGTTACTAAGAACCTGCAGCCATGGACACAAACACCCTTGTGTCCAGCTCAGGAAAGGACTCACCCTCACCACCAGGTTTAACCCCAAAATGCCCATGATTCCCCTTCAAGAGGACAACCAAAATGAGGGTGTTGGCTGATCAGCCCTCAGCCCTCCAGCACAAATTCTGTTCCTTAACACCTTCTATTTGTACCTGCAGAAATCTCTGGAGTTCCCCTGTTCCTCTTTATCATTTGTCCTCTCATGGCTTAACTTGGATGTATCTTTAAAAGCTGCCTGGTAATTCCTCCTTTTAGTTGAGGGAAAACCCCTCATCTCTGATGTGCAGCCCCTTCGTGTTTGTGGAGATCTGGGTTTGCCCTGCGGCATTTCTCTACCCTGCCCTGCATCTGGCTTGGAGTAAACTCCAGAGATTGCAGCACTCACCTGCCCATCACCACCAGGAGACAGGACTGAGGGAAGTGGGTTTGTTATCCAGGACAAAGGAACACGGAGTGGGCAGGAGCCCCCCCTACCTGCAGTGTCTTGGTCCCAGACCTTCACTGTGCTGTCGCTGGAGGACGTGGCAATGCTGGGGGCGAGGGCTGGGCTCCGGGGCAGGAAAACACAGGAGGTGGTGGTCTGGAAATGCCCTTTGTACTCACACACCCGGCCCTTGGTCTGCCTCAGGTCCCAGAGCTGCAGGAAACAGGCAGTGGTAGAGCCCCAGCTCTGCCAGCATGGAGTTGTTTTACCGAGACAGGAAGATGAGTTGGGATAAAAGAGCTCCTCATCAATCCTCAGAGTGCCATGGCTACTGCCCTTGTCCCTGCTCATGCTCACAGTCCTGGAGAACGTCAAAACCCAAAGGATTTTTCACCACTGGTAACTGAGCACCTGGCCACACCCATCAGAGCCAACAAGCTAAGGCTGTGCAGGCAGGTAAGAAGTGTCCAGCCTGCTCCCACCCTCAGCCGTGCCCACCCTGGGCTGGGATAGTTTCATCCTCTTGACCTCACACACAAGGCTGAAAACCTGCAGGATTGAATCCCTGGTATGGAAAGACCTGGAGCAAGGGATCCCTTACAGGCTTTCTGCAAGAACCTTGTGTTCCTTAATGCCATCCATTGGGGTTTTTTGTGTGTTTTACTGAAATGAAATTCCAGACTGGTTTGGGACAGAAGAAACCTTAAAGAACCTTAAAGAGTTTCAACTCCCTGCTGTGGGCACAGATGCCACTCACTAGATCAGGGTGCTCCAAGCCCCATCCAAGTTTGCCTTGGACACTTCCAGGGATGGGGCAAATCCCATTAGTTTAATCAGGAAGAGTAACTGCTGATATTCCCTGAGCAGAACTTCCCAAAGGGACAGGCAGGAAGACACCAAGCACTGGTGTGACACCAGCCCAAGGCCGTGGGAGCTCTCAGACCCTTGAGCAGTGAGTGCTGCTCTCCCTGTGTGTGGCAGGGAAGGGGACAGGAGCCAGGCGTGGCTCAGGCACTCACGGTGGCCTCGGCGCCGTGGCCGGCGGAGCCGCTGCTGCTGCTCAGGCAGTACCGCCCGTCCTGGCTCACGTCACAGCACGTCTGGATGTGCTGCTTGGCTGGGAACGTGTGTGCCACCTGCAGCTCCCGGCTGTCCCACACCCTGCAGGGAACCACAGAGCCCAAGGGGACCCTGAGGCATCATCACCACCATGGTTTCCCTCCGTGCCCTCCCACACACCCTGGCTGCTCCCAAACTCTCCCTGCATTTATGCATGCTGGATCGCTCTGCAGCTTTCTGTCTCACAAATTCTCCTTTTCACCACCCAGAGCTGCTCCCAGCCCCTGTCCCTGTCAGGACATCGCACTCCAAGGCCCAGGTGAGCTGGCAGGTGGCTTTGAGCCACACCAGCAGTGATCATGACAACCAACCAAGCAACAGACCCACGTGCCTCAGGCTGTACCTCCCTTCCCTCTGGTCACAGGGAGAATTTACCTGGTGGTTTTATCTTCTGAGGTCTGGATGACATAAGGCTCCCCAGGAACCCAGCACAGGTGTGTGACCTGCAGAGAAGGAAGGATGAGCAGGAGCCACCTCTGTGTGCAGCCCAGGCTGTGTCTGCCTGAGGATGGAGCCACTGAGCTCCCATCCTCTCCCTCCTCCTGCTGGTTGGGAGCTGGAAATGTTGGATGAAGACATTTTCTGCTCCCCTGCCAGGTCCAGTCCCAGTGGGGTTACTGGGGGTGATTGAGGCTGGCAGGTGACAGCAGCAGGGCACAGGGACAGCACAGGCACCAGGAGTGGTACCCACACCAGCTCTGGGCTGCTACAGGAGGGAATGCAGCCCCACTGCACAGGGCTTGTTCAGCCTGGAGAAAAGGAGACTCAAGGGACGTTCTGGCTCTCCACATCTCCCTGACAGGAGGGTGCAGCCAGGTGGGGGTCAGGCTCTGCTCCCAGGGAACAAGCAATGAGAAGAAACGGCCTCAAGTTGTGCCAAGGGAGGTTTAGGTTGGATATTGGGGAAATTTTCTTTGCTAAAAGAGTGGTCAGGCACAGGCTGCCCAGGGCAGTGGTGGAGTCACCATCCCTGGAGGGATTTAGGAGACAGGTAGATGTGGCACTTGGGGACATGAGTTAGTAGTGGCTGAGGCAGCATAGGGGGAATGGCTGGACTCCATCTTAGAGGTGTTTTCCAGCTTCACTGATTCTGTAATTCTGTGTGCTTCCAAACAGCTCTGAGAACATTGATAAATTGCCATGAGTCCCTTTGTGCTCCTGGGTTTGTTGTTACCTGGAGCCAGGTAACAGCCTCAAGCTGAGCCTGCCCAGGTGCAGTGTCCCGAGGGCTCCCTTTGGCACCAAGCTCACAGCAAATTCTCTCTGCACAGCTCCAAGTGTGAAATAACCACACAGGCAGGGGGATGTTGGGATGGGATTGGAGGAACCAGATCCTACCAGATTCCTGGAGATCGCAGCTCTGCCCAGACACTCCCCAGTCTCAGTGTCCCACTTGCACACGGTGTTGTCCCGGGAGCCCGTGCACAGCTGGGAGGCATCTGCAACCACAATTAACATCAGAAACAAGGCAGGAAACACTGCCAGTCAGTCCCTGGGGACTGGGAGTGTGCTGTCCCTCACCGGGGCTCACAGCCAGTCCTGTAACAACCAGGTCATGTCCTGGGAAGTGCTGGCTTGGCCCCGCAGTCCCGTGAAGCTCCCACATCATCACTGTCTTGTCCCGGGATGCACTGAAGACTCTGCTGGAGTCAAGGGCTGAGGTCACCTGCCAAGGACCAGAAGGAGAAGCTGCTCATCCTCCCACCCAATTCACAGGGAGAGAGCACAACTCTGCTGCTGGCCCAACACACACAGGAACACGGCTGGAGAGAGCCCGGCCTCCCAGCTCTGTCCCTTGTCCTCTCAGAGCCAGGGATGGTGGATGGGTGTTCTCAGGTTTTGTTCTTAGAAACCATTCATTCATTTTACAGGAAAAACTTCCTTACAGACCAAATGAGCCCAGGGCACAGTTGTTTTGAGCACTGAGGTGAACAAAGCCCCCTTTGTCTTTGCAGTACTGGGGTTGTGCCCTGCCGAGGTGCACTGGCCACACCACACACAGCTGCAGCCCCCTCTGCACATCTGCTCTCCCAGAAGCCTGCTTGGCTTTGTCATCCCAATCCCAGAAAGGAAATTAAAGCCCTGTTACTCCCAGAATGTGCCAGCTATGACACATGGCATGGGTATTCCTGGAATATATCAGCCAGGTATGGCTGATTTGTGAAATAACATCAAGTCTAGCAGAATGAGACCTGAAGAAAAGTGAATGGCATCTCTGCATCAAAAGCTTGATCTCATGATTCATCCTGAGCTTTTGCTACAGTCTCCTGGAGGGGAAGACAAGCTCACATACAGACCTCCTGCAGCCCTATTTAATCTGGATGCAACACCCCATGCTGCTTCCAAAAGTATCTGTTGGGACCTTGTGAAAAACCTAATATGTTCTGATCGCAGAATCATGAATCTTTAAGTTTGGAAAAGACCTTAAAGATCATCAAGCCCAACAGTCCCGAGCTGTTATCGGGAATCCCCTGATCCCACCTTTCTGTGTGGATGACAAACCAGTGCTCCATCATTCCTGGCCCCCCAACTCCAGAGGGACACATCTCACCTTGGTGACCTCACGCTCGTGGCCAATGAAGCGGCGCAGGGCAGCCCCAGATCTCCAGCTGGACACAGCCACGCTCTGCAGGGACAGGGACAGGGACAGGGACAGGGGTCAGCAAGAGCAGGGCAGGGAGGATTTTCCACATTCTTGGTTACATCATACCAAGATTTGTGCACAGTCCACAGGACAGGGAACAGGCTCCTCTGGTTTTCAGCTCCTAGAGCATGTGCAGCTGTCCTTAAAGACAAGTGATGTAAGAGTCAGTGGAGCGATCCCAAGCCTGGGTGGGAGCATTTGATGTGAGCATCTCCATGAGCTCTGGAGAGGTTACAACATTTGATTCCCTGTGTTTCAGTGCGTGCTCTCACTCTAAGCTCATTTTTCCTTTCTAAATCCAGGGACCAACCTAGCTACCATCCATGGAAATGTTCAAAGCTCACATTTCACCTTATTTTGGAAGATATTGATATCTTTTCCTGTCCCAGGGGTTACCTCACCTTATCCTTTCCTCCTGACACACACAGGTCTGGTTTGAGGGCAGCCACAGAGGTGACAGCATCGGTGTGAGCAGGGCTGTGCTGCTGGGAGGCTCCCGCGGGTCCCGTGTGTCCCACGGAGCCCTCGGCCCTGCAGAGGAACAGGGACAGCCAGAAGCTGCAGGGGCTGGCAGGCAAGGCCATCCCCTGGCACCTCTGGCATCTTCTGGCACGACAACATCTGTCTTAGAGAGCCAGAGAGAGGCTGTGAGTGACATGGAGCGTGGAGCAGACCTATCCCAGCTCTAGAGCTGCTGGATATTTGTTTCAGAAGAAAAGAGATTTTGACTTCACCAGCCTCCACAGCCACTCACAGGGATCAGGCCCTGCTGTTCTTTGCTGTGATACCTCCCTGGCCACGAGTCCCTCCCAACGGTACCCAGTGCTGCTCTCCACAGATCCCTCTCCCTGCTGCCAGGGACTGAATTATTTCATCTTGGTCATGAAAGCTGGTGACAGGCTCTGAAGGCACAACAAAGCAGCTTGAGTATTTGGGTCAAAGAGCCACTCCTGGAGCTGTTCCCATTCAGAGCTCTGTCTCAGCCATTACAGAGCACAATCCCTGGCCATGGTTATGTGCTTGGCCAATCCTGTGAGTGACACTTGGGATTTCAGTCTCCCAAAGAAGCTGAGCAGACTTTATAAGTGAGGGTTAGAAATCAAAACTTTGTTCAAACATCCAGTAATGAAACTAAACCCCTGTGCTTGCTATATTGTTTGGTCTTTTGTGTTCTCTCTTCACTCTCACATCTGGTTTATTAGCAAGACCTGATCTCTCTGCATTGCTTTACCTGTATTTGGTGGTGTGGAAGCTGATTTTACTCTGCAGTTTCCCCATAGCCCTGGCAAGGAGCAGGCAGTGGTGGGTGTCACATCAGCACCTCGGGTACCTGCTGTGGGGACACGACCTGTGGGTGAGGGACACAGCATCACCAGGGATCCAGAGGGGTTTCTGTTTGTCACACATACAGGATAAGGTGCTGGTAATGTGTTATCTACATCCTAACTCCATTCAAAGAAGAAAACCTCAGAGGAGGGGACATCTGGAGATCCTGAGTAGAACCTTCAGCTTAGAGCAAAGCCAGCAGCAGGGTGAGGTCACTGGGACCTCACACTGAGCCTAAAAATACCCAAGCTTGGTGAGGCCAGAGCTGAGATGGAGCTGCTGCCTGTCATTCTTTACACCTCCTCTTACTCCTGGATCTGGTCTGGACTTTCATATACCCTGGAGACCCAATTTTTGGCTTGGTGAAGGTAAACACCTTCAGACTGAAGCAGCTGGTGGGACCAAGTGCAGGCACAGGCAGCCCCAGCTCAGCTGAGCCAGCCTGGCAATACTTGAATTGATCTTTCCATGAGCTGAGGAACACTTTGGGAAGAATTTCCATGTCCAAACACCAGTTCCATGCAGGCAAGAGCATGTGGATAACGCAGATGCATTCAGCAAACACTTGCTGGCCAGGCTGGGGCCAGGCTGCCCCAGCCCTCCCAAGAGGGCTCAGCACAGCCAGAGCCTGCAGCAGATCCATCAGATCCATCCAGGTGAGCAGCAGCATCTCCTCCCATTCCTCAAAGGTCACAAACTGAGCAGAAACCAGTCTCAGTGACAGTGAATTGTCACAGACAATGACTGGCTGCTGCTTAGCTCAAGGCACACTAATTGGATTTAGTCTGCTGGCATGCCCATCTTCCATGGCTGAAGCATTCTGCTAATCAAAATCAGGGGAAAAAAACCCCAATCTTCTTTTTCCAGCAAAAAACTGATTGAAGGCACTGCCCACAAAAAAAAAAGAGTGCAAACCAAATCCTGGAAGCACTGAGCAAAAGGGGTTGGGTTTCTATAAAATTCCCTTTCTAATTTTACCCTGACAGCCTTTGTGATTAGCAATTAGTAATACCCAGTTAATCTCCTGCTGTTCTATCCATGAGTTTGCATGTTCCAAAGATGTGAGGAATGATCAATCTCACAGCTGAGGGGCTGCGATAATTTGGCAATTTATTCTTTCAATCAGACTGAGTGTCCCAATTGTTTCAGTCCATCAGGAATATGATTTTTCTCTGACAGTGGGAGAACTCCAGAGGTTGCAAAACAAGATTCTAGGAAAAGCTAAGGTATGAATTCTGAGTTTTTAATTCTGATGGTTACTGTTTCCAAGCCACAGTTAGTAAATGTTCATCCCTACCTGCACACCAGCTCTCAGGGAGCTGCCAGAGGCCAGGGGAGGCTGCAGGGAAGGTGGGAGCTTTGTCCTATGTCTCACTGTTCTCCTGCCTCTTCCTCACTGCAAGAAAGAGCAGATTTTTCTGCATCCTGGATGAGAACAGCGCTCAGGCAGGATGTTAATCCCAGGCTTTGCTGTCTGTACCCCAACACACATTCATCCATCAGCTGCTCCACCATAAAGCTCTAAAAACTCAGGGATCCTACAGCTGATCCACACCAAGCTTCACCTCCAGCAGCCTGAGTTTCATGCTGGAGGATGTCCTTATCCTCCCTTCTCCCCAAATGCATCGCTTAACAGAAATAAACACCTTTTTTTACTGAATGGCTTTTGAAAAATAAGCCTACACCTGTCCAGGCTCAGCAGTGAAACCTGTACTGTGGGATAGGGAATGGCAACAACCACAGCAGCAGCACAGGGACCCCAGCAGAGCTGCCCCATCCTCACGGGGGAACAAGCATCCCTGCGAGGAGGGTGTTTGCCTTTGGGGAGAATGGGGAACATCCTGGGTTCCTAGAGCTGAGTGTGACCTCACAGCAGTGCTGGCAGATCTCTGGGACTGAGGGTGTCCCTGTGGGGTTAAATGGGAGCATCCCGGGTCCATTGGGATGGGGGTGTCCCTGTAGGGTTAAATGGGAGCATCCCGGGTCCATTGGGATGGGGGTGTCCCTGTAGGGTTAAATGGGAGCATCTTGGGTTCCTTGGGGTGGGGGGGAACCCTGTGGGATGCTCCCGTGGAGCCCCTCAAGTGCCAAGTGGCAGTGGCAGTGACGAGGTGGGGCAGCCCTCGGGAAAGGTCCGTGAAGGAAGGTCCGTGAAGGAAGGTTCGTGAAGGACTCACCGGCCCCGGCGCCGTCCCGCCCGTGCCGCCCGCTGCTGGCTCCGGCGGGGCCGGGCCGGGGCGGAGCCGAGCCGGGAGCGCCGAGCGCGGCCGGGCGGGGCCGCCGCCCCCGCGGCAGGTGCGGGCACAGCATGGCCCGGGCCGAGCGGCTGCGGGTGAGCGCCGGACCCGGCCCGGCTGAGGGCAGCCCGGGGCGGGGGGCAGCGGGGCCGTGCGGGGCTGTGGGGGGGGGAAGGGCTCCTGGGGGTGAGGGGGGGTCCCGGTAGGAGTTTGGGGCCCTGGGAGTCCCTGGCAGGGTGTGAGGTCCCGGGGATGTGTGGGGTCCTTGGTGGTGTGTGCGGCCGTGGGGGGTCCCTTAGCGGGGTGTGGGGTTCCTGGGGGTGTGTGGGGACCCTGGGGGTCCCTAGCAGCGTGTGGAGGTCCCGGATGGGGTGTGGGGTCCCTGAGGTTGTGTGGGGTCCCTGGGGCTGTGTGGGGCACTGGGGGTCCCTGGGGTTGTGTGGGGCACTGGGGGCGTGTGGGGTCCCTGGGGGTGTGCGGGGCCCTGGGGTGCCCTTGGTAGAGTGTGGGGTCCCTGGGGGTGTGCGGGGCCCTGGGAGTCCCTTGGCAGAGTGTGGAGGTCCCGGATGGGGTGTGGGGGCCCTGGGGTGCCCTTGGTGGTGTGTGGGGTCCCTGGCAGGGTGTGGGGCCATGCGGGTGGATCCCATGGGGAGCTGGGTTCTCTAAAGGATCCCCTGGCGGGTGCGGGCCCACCCAGGCATGGGGATGGGGGCTCTGCGAAGGGCTCCTGGCACGTGTGGGGCTGTTCAGGGGAAGGGGCTCTCTGTGGGGCGGTGCAGGGGAGCTGTGGGTGCAGGTGTGGGGTGGCTGCCGGAGCTCGGGGCCCGTCCCGGCCCGCACCCATCACCTCCTGCTCCGTGTCCCAGAACAAGCTGGTGGAGCGCTGCGAGCGGATCCAGCTGCAGAGCGCGGCCATCGCCCGGCACGTGGACGAGGTGCTGCCGGCCAAGGACCAGGGAGTCCTGGTGAGTCCCCGAGGCTGGCCCGAGGCTGCTTCCTGCTCGCCATTCCCGGCAGGGATGCTCAGCTCCTGGGGGAGGGTGGGAAACATCGGGATGTGGAAGTGGAGTGCCAGGGTGTGCCTGGAATTCCGGTTTCATTTTGCCTAGAAAACGTGCGCAGACAATGGTGTGAGTCTACAACAATCAAACATCCTAGTAGGATTAGTGCCTTAGAATTACTGAGTTTATTTGTTCCTTGCTGTCACTGAGGATGAGGGCAAAGGACAGCGATAGAATCACAGAATCCCAGACTAGTTTGGGTTGGAAGGAGCCTAAAAGACCACCCAGTTCCAACCCTCTACCATGGGCAGGGACACCTCCCACTATCCCACATTTCTCCAAGTTCCATCCAACCTGGCCTTGGACACTGCCAGGGATCCAGGGTCAGCCACAGCTTCTCTGGGTGCCCTGAGGGCCTCCCCACCCTCCCAGGGAACAATTCCTTCCTAATATCCCATCCATCCATGCCCTCTGGCAGTGGGAAGCCATTCCCTGTGTCCTTTCCAGGCTCATGTCCCAGGTTCCTCTCCAGCTGTCCTGGAGCCCCTTTAGGCACTGGAAGGACTCTTAACAGAACAGGCTGAGACAGCTGGGGGTGTTCAGTTTCTCACCAACAGTGGATGTCTGGAGATTTGCTGAGCGACAGGACTCGGGTCTTTTGCAGGTTGTCACTTAGGTACTGGGGCTGGCAGGTTTGGGACTGGTATGGTGCGAGGTTCTGTGGCCTGGGCTTGGTAGTAACAGAGTAGCACTAATAGCTGAGCCCCAGGAGAGCCAGCAGCAGCAGCTGGGGCTCCTGTCAGGGCTGGAGCAGGGCTGATGCTCCTGCCCTGTCGTGCCTGGCAGAGCGCGGCCAGCGCGGCGCGGGAGCTGGTGATCCAGAGGCTGCTCCTCGTGGGGAAGGCCTGTGAGAACGAGGAGCAGCGGCTGCTCGAGAGGGTGCACGCCGAGGAGGAGCGGGCACACCAGAGCATCCTCACCCAGCAGGTGCACTGGACAGAGGCTCTGCACAAGCTGGGTGCCCTCCGCACCTACCTGGTGGACACGATCACCAAGCTGGATGACCAGGGCCTGCTGGTGAGTACTGTGAGCCAGGCAGCCCTGACCTGACCTGCATTTCTTGTTATGGGACTTCAATGCAGTGTTCAGCAGCTGCTATGCTGACAGTAGGGAGGAAGAGGTGGACAGGACATACATTTGCAGATCTGGCTCAGGGAACCTCCTTGACCTGATCCTCATAAGCCCCTGTGGTTTCCTGGTGGTTCCTCTGCCAGATCCTGCTCTTGCTTGCAGTGAGCTCCAGAACCACCCAGGTTCAAGTCTCCAAGCTCTGGGCTTGTAGCTGCCCTTAGGCTGCACAGCCAGAACAGCTCTGGTTTGTGAGCTGCTCTAATAACAGTTAGTTTTCTAGTGTCTAGTTTTAATCAAAACTCACTCTTGGGAGCACCTGCAGCTCTTCTGGAAAGTCCCCTGTGTTGCCTGGCTTAGCCCTGTTAGGGATATTTGCTGTGCTTCCCCTTGCTCAGTTCCTGCTCTGGTTATTGAATCATCTGGGTTCACCCAAGTGATTCCTCTCATTTTAGATGAGAGCATTACCTCTGCCTTGCCACCACCATGCTCAGCCTGTGCTTCATGTGTAAATTTGTGAGGAAGGGAACAGGAGCTCAGCTTGGAAAACAGACCCAATCCCATGGAAAGAGGGCAGATGTTCCTTTGGTGGGAAAGGCAGTTCCTGTGCTGCCTCAGCACCTTGGTGTGCTGGGCTGTAGCTGCACCATAAAGAGGAGAGGTTGGAGAGCAGGATCCATCAGCTGCCTGTGGCAGAGAATAGCCACACCCTCAGTTTCTCCTTCTGGAAGGGAATTAGGGGTTCGTTGGGTTTTTGGTGTTGGTACTTGTGCCTATCTGGAATCAACACATGCCATGCCACAGGAAAGCTGAAGGCATGCAAAGAGCACTGCTTGGATTTGAGCAGGGATCAGGTATTTCCTTATCACTTTGCTGTACCTTGAGAGTGCCTCATGCCCAGCAGGTACAGAAACAAGTGAGACTGACCTGACTCTTGGCTTAGTCTCTCTGCAACCTCCCTCTGCTGGAGTTGTTTGCTGGGAGCACAGGCTGTTCCTGCAGCCTGCCCTAGTGGGGTGGGGACAGAGAGGGAACAGCAGACAGTGCCCCAGCCACACGTGCTGTATGGCCTTCAGCCATTCCCAGTCATTTTCTGAGTCAGGAAGTGCTGCAGCTGAAGAGAATGGATGTTGGATGCTCCTGCTCTCCAGGGCTGGGGTTGGGTTGAGGGGTGGCTTCTCTGGGGCAGGCAGGGCAACACTGCTCCCCAGGTCCTGTGTTGCTGTGTTTGGGGTGTCTTCTGTGGGGATTTAAGCTGTGTGATGACTCTTCCTCTCCTTGTCTCCAGCGTGCAGAACAAGAGATCTTCGAGAGGTCAGTACTCAGCTACTCCTGGTCCTTTCTCTGACCCTACTCCAAGCTTTCCCTGCTCCTGCTCCACACCTGCATCCCCACAGCTCCTCTGCTGCTCAGGCACCCCATGACACCTCCTTTGTCCCTCGTGCTGCTTCTGTTGTGGACAAGCACAGAGATGCCATGTGCTGTGCTGCACCTGGAGATGCTCCATGTGCTTTCCCAGATCAGCAGTCCTTGCTTATGGGAGAACTTCTGCAGCTCCTTAGAAAACCACAGGGCTTGCTGGGGCAGGCCTGTGCCAGGCTGTTGGCAGGAGGTGGGGTGGTCTGTGCTCTGTGCTGGGGGTGGCTGGCACATCATTTCCCCTGCTCTGCATGGGCAGGGAAAGCCAGGTGCAAGTCTCAGTGTCCCCAACAGCTCTATCAGTGACACTGGGCTGCCCTTCCTGAGGAAGCACCTTGGTGGCTGCGTTTTTATTTAATCTATTTAATTTTATTTAAGTCATTTATTTCTGTGGCTGCTGTGACGGTGCTGGCCCTGGCTGCACTGTGCTGCCCAGAGGGCCTATGGGGGTATTTGTGCCTGTGGAGAGCATGGAATGTGCCACAGCACATGCCCAGCAGCCAGTGCCACAGCCTGTCCTCACAAACAGGAGTTCTGTGATTGCTGCAGGCCACAGGAGCCAGCAAACCCCTGGCTCTGTGCTGGGTGAAACCTGGTGTCCTGGCTTGCTCTGTGCCCAGGTCATGGGGCTCTGGCAATAGAGGGAAATCTGATTCTGTGCCTGTTCATTGTGCTCCCCTGGTACCCTGATGGCTGCTCTCAGACACATTTGTTTACCCTGTGTCTGCTGAGTGAGGAGTGTTGACTCAGGCTGCTGGGATGTGTTTTACAACACTGCAGCCCTTTCACAAGAAACTGTAAGCAGAGCCAACCGAAAGTATCACTCAGGGTGAGAGCTGGCCCAGACACCCCTGCTGTGGTCTCTCTGCAGCCAGAGCTCCTCTTTGACATCTGTCACCCCTCCTCATGGTCTTTGAAACACCTCCCAGCACAATAAATCATTGTATTTTCAAACAACTCCTTTGCTAGGACGGAGGTGGCGGAGGGAATCTTGGAGCCACAGGAGTCCCTGAAGTTAAACTTTAATCAGACCTGTGTTCAGAGTCCACTGCTGCATCGACTGTGGGCCTGTGCTGTGCTCTGCTGCCTCACAGGTGAGTGTCTCACTCAGATCTCGCATGCTCCAGGGATCCTTCACCCTCACTCATGTTGTGCCCAGAGAAACACCCTCATGTTGTGTACAAACTTCCTTGTGCTGTGTCCTGCCCCTCTGCTCTCCCAGCCCCTGCTTGTTTCTTGGAGCCCATTCAGGGAGGCAGCAGCAGCTGTGGGAGGTGTAGGGGGTGCAATGGTAGCTCCCCCATTGCAGGTTGTGGCTCAGGGGCGAACTGGAGTTTGAAAAGACTGTGTGTTTATCAGCTCTGTGGCTTTAATGTTGTGTGGTTTCTTTTGCTGTTTCCTGGGTCTCTGGGTGACAGCAGTGAAGCTGATGCTGCTGTGGGACTGTCACAGAAATCTCTGTTCACAATGTTTGGCATTGGGCTGCTGGGGGCTTTGAGAGGGTGATTTCACCTGTGGGGTGTCTGAGGCTGCCCAGTGCAGGGAGCAGTGAGTAGATGGAGCAGTGTTCTGATCACAAGCAGGGGTTGTGGCTCTGCACGAGCTGGTGGTTCTAGAGGTGTTTGTACTCTGGCTCAGCTCCTGCTGTACAGCTGAGGCTGCACTGGAAGCATTTGCCAGGCCATTGACAGGCTCTAGGACTGGTTTACCTGGTTGGTGCTGGCTGTGTTAAGCAGGGAAGGAAGTTTTTCCTCTGGCTGTGATGTGCTTGAATGGCTGGTTGTGAAATGTTTGCTTTTACTCTGGCTTTCAGGCTGTTGTTAGAGTGTTTCAAATGCATTTTTTGTTTCTCAGATATGGCAGTATCTTTCGTAATTTGCCTTGTGAACAATCCCTAAGGTGGTTTTTCCAAAGCTTCTATACAAACTTCTGATTTCTGCTTATCTTGCTGTGATTCTGATGAGCTGTCCACTTTTTCCCTGTGTCCAGTTTTTCCCTGTTTCCAGGCCCATCTCCAGGTTCTGCACTTCAGACTTTTATTGCTGTCATGGTTTTAAGTACTAGCTTGAGAGTCCATGCCTATCAAGCACTACCATCATGTGTTTATCTCCTGCAAACTCTGGTGCTGCTCTCCCTTTGTGATTAATTTCCCTCTTTGGAATCTGTGAGTGCTGGCAGTTGGGGAAATGTCCCTGCAGGGGGTTGGGACTAGGTGATCTTTAGGGTCCCTTCTGACCGAAATCACTCTGTGATTTTATGCCAGCCCCTGCAGTGGTGCACTGACAGTATCACAGAATCTCAGAATTGTTCAGGTTGGAAAAGACCTCTAAGACCATCCAATCCAACCTGTGATCACCACCTTGTCACCCAGCCCAGAGCACTGACTGCCACATCCAGTCATGCCTTGGACACCTCCAGGGACTGTCATTCCACCGTTTCCCTGGGCACTCCCTTCCAGTATTTAACAGCCCATTCAGTGAAGAAATTCTTCCTGAAAGAATCAGTCGAGCAAGTTCTCAATGTTCAGAGCCATGGAGGAGTCAAGCAGGAAACCTTTCCCTAATTTTCTTTGTTGTGACAGGGTTTTTGTAAAGATTCTCCTCCCAACAGTATCCTTGTGAAATGTAATGACTTTAAGGCATTCAATTCTTGTGGTGGGTGTGCACATACACTTACTGCACAAGAATTTAATTCTGGGTTTGTTTTTTTTTTGAGTATGTGATTACATTTCACAGGTCATTACTGTATGCTGAGGATGCCTGGTGTATCCTTGTGGATGTCATCAGTCCACAGGCCACCCTGGACCAAGCCTTAAAGATTTAATATTAACAGCAGTGGTCTGAGCTTGCCTTAAGACACAGTAATGTGAAGTGTCACTCTGTGGTCAGTTCTCCCAAAGGCAGGTGAGCAAGTGGCTGTCTTGTTTATTTGCTTGAAAATGGAAGATTCCAAGCCTTGATGGCTCACTCCATAGGCTCTAAAAAACTTAGCAGCTGCAAAAGGGCCTCCATTTCACTCTCAAAAATAAATATTATTCATTTGATGCCTTCACCTGGCATCCAGGCTTCTGTATCACTTCTGTTTGGGTTTGGCAGTTTCTTCCTTACACCACGAGATGATGTAAATCTCTGGCACCGTTTTGGGAGGGATCTTGGTTCATGGGAACTAGGATTTTTAAAAGCCGGCAGATGTGCTGCAGCTCACACAAATGTGCTTCCCAGAGCTGTTAACCATGGGAATTTATTGTCCTGGTATCCTTGATGTCCCAAGGCCACCCTGGTGGATACAAAGAAAATAGACCTGGGGGCAAGATGAATTCCCAGTGGAATCATTCATCAGAATTATATGTGAAAATCCAGATTTAATCATGACAAAAGACTTGTGTGAGGGGCAAAATTTCCTGACCCAAGTTACTCTGATGTTACTTCGGCAGCACTTCCCCTCCCTCAGATGCTCCTCTGGAACTGCAGTTCCACAGCAAAGCAACGTGAGTGTCACTGGGCTGGTGTTTCCATGCTTGGACCACCAGGCTGCAGCCCTTGGTTAGCTGTGTGTTGCACAACACAACAGGAGGTTTAGTGCCCTCCTTCTGCCAGAGGAAGATAAAGTCTGGTGCTGCTCTGTTTTCTATGAATTCAGAGCAGCATTTGGCTTCCTGGAAAGCTGCCCTGCACACCAGCAGCGTGGGCAGCCCCAGAACCCCGTGGAGAGCTCAGGTTTGGCTGCTGTGTGGGGAAATAAATCAGATGAATGAGGCTGGCAGATACTGATGAAGGAAATGCTGGCTTCAGCTCCTCTTTGGGCTCACTCTTGCAATAACTCCTACCTTACATGCACAGGTGTGTGGCACTGATTTGCAAAGGGATAATTGAGCCTTGGTTCGTCTGCCAGGGAGCACCTGGGCAGGTGCAGCCCGAGGAAACCCTGGAGCATTGTTGCTGCTGCTGGGTGCTGTTTGCTCTTAGAGAGATGCTGACCCGGGTCCTGAGTGGGCTGGGCTCTGGGATGAGCCTGCTGAGGTCATCCTTTGGTTCTGTAAGGGCTCATGGTGCTGTGTGCTGGATGCTGAGCAGAGGCTGTTGGGCAATGGCTGGCACTGGTGTGACAGGGTAGAGCTGCTAGCAGGGATGGGAGAGCCACTGAGTCACCCCTCCAGCCCTGTCTTCATGGTGGTTTAAGAGCTAAAATAAAGTGAGGGTGGAAGGTAGGGAAAGGAGGGGCACCTGCTGGCAGGAACTGGGTCTGCTGGGCATCAGCCTCATCCCTGCTTCACAAATGTGGGGACTGAAGGACACACTTGTGCAGTTCCACAGCCTGCAGACCCACAGAGGGGTCTCAGGGCATGCAGCCAGGGCAGGGCACCATGATCTTAGAGGTGTTTTCCAACCTTGACAGTCCTGTGATTCCATGATTTTGAGGTGGTGCAGACCCACAGTGGGTGCCATGTCCTCTGGCCAGCCTGGGCTGCTACTGGCTGGGTTGTGCAGCTGAGCACCCTCTTCTTTCACAGCAAAGCCAGATCCAGTCACAGCCATTCTCAGCTCTAAGCCTGGTGCCACCTCCCCACACTGCTCCCTCAGGGTGGGTTGATCAACACCTGGGGCACTGTAGCAGGAAAAAGATTTCCCTGCCCTCTCCAGTCCTGTTTTTCCGGCTTTGCAGGTTTTCTGCACACAACCCTCCCAGTCTTTCGAGGCTCTTGGCTCCCCTGGCTGGGGGAGGAGCAGCCAGATCCTGCTCACCCACTGTGGGGGTGGAAAAGGACAGGAACTAAGTTTGGATCTCTCTCAAAAGTGGGGTGAATCAAACCTGCTGAGTTCTGTTTTATGGGGAGTCAGGCCAAGGTCAGAGGAAGATGAGCAGGGCCTTTAGTGCAAGGTGGAGAGGTGTCTGGTGAGTCTGGGCTTTGGTGAGTCTCTGCCTTGTTGTGGCCCTGGCTGAGAGGAGAAGCTGTGGCGCCCAGCACTGTCGCCCTGGGGAGCAGATGGGGCCCCAGGAGCCATGTGTGAAGAGGGATTGGTTGTGCTTGTGTTTCTCATGGCCATGACTGCTACCTCAGGTGGTGGTCACTGAGTCGGTGCTCACCACGTGGCTTCTCTTGCAGGCTCACAGGAGATTCACATCGATGAGAAAACCCTAAGCCCCCACCTCAGCCTGTCAGAAGACAAGAGAACCCTGACCTTCAGGCCCAAGAAAGCAAAAGTGGACTTGGACTGCCCCGAGCGGTTTGACCACTGGCCCAACGCTTTGGCCACTGCACCTTTCCACTCAGGGGTCTGTGCCTGGAAGGTCAGTGTGGAGCAGAGCTGTGCCTACAAGCTGGGAGTTTGCTACAGCTCCGTGCCCAGGAAGGGCTCAGCCAACGAAGGCCGCCTGGGCTTCAATGCTGCCTCCTGGGTGTTCTCACGCTATGACAAAGAATTCCGGTTCCTGCACGCGGGGCAGCCCCAGCCCGTGGAGCTGATCAAGGCCCCGGCAGAGATCGGGGTCCTGCTGGACTTTGCTGGGGGGGAGCTGCTCTTCTACGACCCCGACTCCTGCGCCATCCTCTTCTCCCACCGCCAGGCCTTCCTGGAGCCCGTCTACCCCGTCTTTGCCGTGGCACACCAGAGCATCTCGCTCCTCCCATGAGCGGGGTGTGGCCGTGTGTGACTGTGTGCCCGGGGGGAAAGGAGCCTGAGCAGGGCTGTGGCTGTGTCCAGGGGCCTCCAGACAACACTTGCCTTCACACTACACCTGTTCCTCGCGTGTTTTCTGCAGCTTTTCTCTCGTCCTGGAGCCTACACCCTGTGCTGGGGTGAGGGGTCTGAGAATGCCTGGCTGGGCCAGCTGCTCCTAGGTGAATTGTTTGATTTCTGCCCCACCAAAGGCAGCTTTCCAGTCTGCTGGTGGGCTGGAGAAAAGAGGAGAAGTGGTGAGAGATATGTAGGGAGGAGGCCTGTGGAAAGGGACATACCGTACTCTACAACTCCTTGACAGGAGGGTGGAGCCAGCAGGGGTCAGGCTCTGCTCCCAAAGAACAGTGAAAGGACAAGAGGAAACGGCTTCAAGTTGTGCCAGGAGAGGTCTAGGTTGGATAGTGGAGAAAATTTCTTCACTGAAAGGGTTGTCAGGCCCTGGAACAGGCTGCCCAAGACAGTGATGGAGTCACCATCCTTGGAGGGGTTTAAAAGGCGTTGTGGATGTGGCACTTGAGGACATGGTTTAATGGTGGCCTAGGCAGCGTTGGGGGAACAGCTCGATCTAAAGGTCTTTTCCAATCTAAATGATTCTGTGATTCCCTGATTGGGAAGCTGGAGGCGCTTTTGGGAGGAGCTACCCCATTGCAGAGCAGGGACAGTGCAGGGGGCTGTCCCCTGTGGAGGAACCATGCTGGGACAAGGGCACTGCTGAGGGGCTGTGGCCATATCCAAGCAGAGGAACAAGCAAAGAGCAGCAGAAACCAAAACTGAGTGTCCCAAGGGAGTGGGGTTTGAGTGTAATGTGGTGCAAACACGGGGAGCTGCTGGCAGCAGGCAGGAAGGAGAGGTGTAGGCCTGAAGTTGAGCCAGAGACAGGGGTTTAAAATCATCTTTAAAGGGTCATCTTTATTTCTCACTACCCAAATCAGTAAAGTTAATTGGCAATTCATTAAGTGAAATTGGCAGCTCCAGACTCTTTTGCCCACAGCAAGAGATCTGCAGGCAGCTCATGCCTGCCTACTGCTGTTGGGAAGGGGGAGATGTTGGTGAGGTGGCAAAGCTGGGGTACACTGTGGGTGCAGGGCCTGGGCAGAGGTGTCATGGGTGCTCTGTGTGGGCAAACCTTCCCTGAGACAGGGCCAGCACTTACACTGGGGGATGCTTGACTGGGAGGGGATAAATCTCAGTATCTGCTTCCATCTCCTGCCAGAATGAGCCTCTGGAGTGACCCAGTCACAGCCCTCTTAGGGGAAGACACCACAGCTGGCCCTCTTCTGTGGTGTTTTTAGAGCCATGAAACACATCTGCTCCACTGCTGGGCATCAGAAATGTTTTATTGCATGAACACTCCTCCTGCTCCATAGGCAGCTCAGACTTGCTGCTTTTCTTCCCTGCCCACCTGGCAGTAGGAAATCTCAGTCAGAACAGCTCAGCACTGGGCAGCAGCGCTGGACCCCTCCGAACCGCAGCTACTCCTTCTCGATGCGAGCCAGGAGGTGGCTGAGCGTGGGCAGGACGTGCTCGGGGGGCACCTCTGGCCCGTCGCCGTGCCCGGCCGCCCGCAGCAGGAAGCTGTGCATGCCCGCGGCCCGGGCTGCCCGGTAATCCCGGCTGTAGTCATCGCCGATGTGAGCCGCCTGCTCGGGCCGGGCCCCGCCGAGCCGCAGCGCCTGCTCGAAGATCCTCCCGTCCGGCTTGGCGAAACCCGCGGCCTCGGAGGTGAGCACGAACTCGAAGTGGTGCCGCAGGTTGCACCGTGAGAGGATGACTTCCAGCCGGCTGTCGAAGTTGGACACCACTCCCATGCGGAAGCCGAGCTGGCGGCACCGGCCCAGGGTCTCGGCGGCTCCCGGCAGCAGCTCCCAGGTGTGGGAGCTGCAGTAGTCGCGGTAGAGCTTTTCTGCCAGCTTCGTCAGGGCTGCCTCGTCCTGCACGCCCGACAGCCTGAAGCTCTGCTTGACAACATCCAGCCACCACTGCCGGGAGCTGAGCCCCTGGCCGTGGCCGTAGTTGGGGAAGCGCCGGCTGTGGGCTCCGTACACCTCCCTGAAGGAGCGCCCCAGAGCCTCGGGCTGCACCTGCAGCCCCTGGGCCCGGGCCTCGGCCGCGTAGCTCTGGCCCACGGGCTGCCGCAGCCGCAGCAGCGTGTCCTTCACGTCCCAGGTCAGCAGGCGCAGCCGGAGCATGGCCTCAGCAGCGCCCGGGGACACAGCCCAGCCCCGCGGTGCCACTCACATCACAGCGCTGCGGGCACCCCAGCCCTTTGTGCACCTCAGCACCAGCGTCGGTGTCCCTCCGGCGGAGCTCAGGGCCCCTCCGGGGTCAGCATGGAACGCGGCAGGGAGGGCAAACCCAGCTCCGAGTGCCAGGGGCAAAGTCTGCCAGGCCGGGGCAGTGCCACTCCCCACGTGGGTGCTGCGGACGGGGCGAGCTGGGGCACCGGAGCTCGATCCGGGCTGGGGATCCGGGGCACGGCCGGGGTGTCCGGGTGGAAGGCAGGTGCACACTCGCGGTGTCCCCGCGGGTCCCGGAGGTGCGGGGCGGTCCTGGCGCTCGCCGGGCCGAGCTCCCGGAGCGCGGGGACTGCGGGCTGGGGGTGCCGCAGTGCCGGGGCCCACCTGCGCCGCTGCCCGGAAACACCGCCCGTCCCGGAGAGCCCTCCCATCCCGGAAAACCCGCCCATCGCGGAAAACCCTCCCCTCCCGGAATTCCCTCCCAGCCCGGAGATCCCGCCCCAGCCGCAGTGGCCGCACTCAGTGCCGGCCCGCCGCTTCCCGCAGCCAGCGCAGCAGCTGCGGGGTGAAGTAGGTGATGATGATGTCGGCCCCTGCGGAGAGACGAGACGCTAGAGCCAGCCCGGGGGGACACGGGGGATACAGAGGGGGATACGGGGGTCACAGCCTCACCTGCACGCCTGAAGGCCGTGATCGCCTCCTGCACGGCCGCCTCCAGGCTGAAGGCGCCGGCCTGCGCGCCGTGCCACAGCATGGCGAACTCCCCCGAGACGTGGTACACGGCCAGCGGGTGCGTGGGGTGCTGCGGGAGCGGGTCAGCGCTGGGGACAGCCCGGCCCCCGCGCTGTGCCCTGCCCGCACACAGAACCACTGCCCTGCCCCCCAGCCCTCCCTGCCAGAGTCCTCACCCGAGCCTTGACATCCCTCACGAGGTCCAGGTAGGGCATCCCCGGCTTCACCATCAGCATGTCCGCGCCCTCCCGCACGTCCCGGTCCTGCCAGGCAGCGCGGGGACAAGAACAGCTTGTTTTGTCCCAGGATTTGGAGCTGGTGGCTGTGTTCCCCAGGAGGCTGTGAGCCTCTCATGGTCAAGGTGGCCGATGCTCCCCTGGCCATACACATAGTGCCTGGGGAGAGCTGATGGCTTTGTGTCCCTGCCCCTGACACCCCAATCCACAGCAGGGCATGGGGACAGCATCTGCACAGCTCAGTGCTCAGCCCTGGGACACACACTGGGACCAGACTCACGGGCCTCGTGTTTCTTTGGATCATGGAAGGGGAAGACCCTTGACCATTTGCCTCCCAACCTCATGCTCGCCCCAAGCCCTGCGGGGTGCTATCACCCTGGCCCCACTGAGAGTGTCCCACCCTACAGCCATAACCCCACACCCCACACGGAAGGTGTCCCACCCCACAGCCATAACCCCACA